AGAAAACAACGACAAATCAGACAAACCGGAAGCGGTAGGTATAGTTTGAGACAGCGCCATTGGTTTTGGATTACTCACCGCTGACTGGACGAGACATCTGCCAATCAAAAAATACGGAGTGTCTATTTAGATTTAGTTAAAAGCTGTAAAACATCAGCACCAGTGGCGCAGATGGATAAGTGCGTGTCGTTGGCTTTTTGACACGATCGACCCGGGTTCGATCCCATCTTTTGTCAAACTTTTTTTTCCTCCCTTTTCAAATCTCGTATTAGCAATGGATTGTATTTATACTAAGTGAAAATAGCAGTATTTTTAGCAATATGCTATTTACACACTAAGTGCAAATACACTATATATATATAATAAATATTTACACTATGTTAAAATAGCAGGATTTCTACTTTCAAGTATACTACTTGTTGCAAATAGTGGCAATTATCTGCACTTCAGTATTGTAGTACATTATAAAACAGTATGCAATAATAACGTATTGAGTGTAAATTTATAATTTTAATTATTAAATGGATGCCAATATAGCAATAAAGCCCTCCCTACACCTACCCTAACCCTACCCGATACTTTCTTTTCAACTTTTTGATTATTTCCTTAATTTTTATTGAAAATAAATGCCTTTACGATGTGATACGAGATTTGAAAAGGGAGAAAAAAAAAGTTCGGCAAAAGGCGAGATCGAACCCGGGTCGATCGCGTCAAAAAGTCAACGACAAGCGCTTATTCATCTGCGCCACTGGAGCGAAATGGAGGGTTTCAAATAAAAGGTAGGCCTGTATGAACAATTACAACATGAGTTGTTTTCTGAATAGTCTTTATTTATTTTGAAGCACCCTCACCCAAAAGCATTTTAACTCATTACAATATAACTTACATCACAATACGTTTTTAAAAGGCATTGGATACATTTGCATCTTCTTGTGGAAGATGTTGTTTTATTTGTATGGTTCGTCTCGTATTAAATATGAATTATTACATATTATTAAATATTAATATTCTACCTACCTCTTCCGGTTTGTCTGATTTGTCTTTGTGTTTTCTGACTTGTTATTTTGTTTTCGAATTTGTCATTGTGTTTTCTGACTTGTTATAATGTTTTTTGAATTGTTGTTGTGTTTTCTGAATTGTTATTTTGTTTTTTAGACTTGCATTTGCGTTTGTTATTTTGTTTTCAGAATTGTGATTTGCTTTGCACTTCTCGGCCACCGTAAGATCATACTGCAACCCAACTATAAGAATAGGTAAAAGTTGGAAATGGAGGGTTTCAAATAAAAGGTAGGCCTGTATTTTCACCTCTTGTAGCTAATGTGCATTGCTATATAGGACTGTATTCAGGGCAGAAAAGAAATGTTTATCGTCTTTCACTATGTACAGTATTATATTTATTGTGCTTTCATTTGATTACTTTGAGTAATTATTTGTCATTTGTATTTTTTATTATTATTATTTTGATGAGTTTATTTTGTAGTGACACAATTTTTGATGCTACTTCAATTGTTTTATTGTTTCACTGATATAATATAATAAGCATTCTCCAATAAAAATGTTTATCTCAGGACAAATAAGTAGATTACGCACTCATTAATGATTTTGGGATACTTACTGTGTCATCTGTCTCTGTTTAAGTGCTTGAGAACAGTTTGTTTTTATGATGGCTCAATTAAATGCATTTATAAAAACAAAGAATTTTGATATGAGGCCATGACGGTCAAGGGTATGTGAGAGGTTAGTAGACCAGCATTTATCATTCATTTTAAAATTTCAGCCATCATTATCCATTTTCGCCCTTTGCTAGTCACAAAACTCCATCTTAGCTGTGGCGAATCCATTAGTACTACTGTAAAGTGGCCCTTGACAAATATGCAGTGTTTTAGTTTGTCTTGTACTATGCACAGTAACGAGCACTTAGTTATACTAATAAGCTAGCATTAACCTATTTATAGTAATGTTTGACCTATTTGTAACAGGTCTCTATATTTATTTCCATAAATAATAGACAAAGTCAGTGCAGCCTTTTCTTAAAAGAGAGAGAGAGAGAAGCAAAGCTGTCTGTTTCATGTCTGTCTCCTGCTCACAGGACTAAGTTGAAGTGTGCCAAGATGCGCTGCTATTACAAGGAGCTGCACGAGAGAGAGCAGCAAGCAAAGACACGCAACCTTGAGCTTCTTGGGAATGTGGCGAACTTGGCATCAAAAATGAAAGAATTCTCCATTGATTGTAGCAGGCTGCTTCAAAAGAGGGTAACAAACTTGGGCAGCTTCATCTGTCCCAAAATCCATCATATGCGCTTCTTAAAACAGTACTGACTCTGTGTCTGTTGTTGTTTCACAGTTTTTATCAATGAAGATGTACGTTTGATTTGGTTTAGAGTAGGGCTGGACGATATGGCCAAAATTTATATCACGATATATTTCTTAATTCCGATATCGATATCAACACTATTAAAAAAAGCCTCGTAAAAACATCCAAGAATGCCCACAACAGATGTCTGTGCATACAAACTTATGAAAAATGAATTTGCCAAGTCTTTGACACCTCATAGACTTTCTTAATTCCGATATCGATATCAACACTATTAAAAAAAGCCTCGTAAAAACATCCAAGAATGCCCACAACAGATGTCTGTGCATACAAACTTATGAAAAATGAATTTGCCATCTTTGACACCTCATAGACAAAAAAAAATGTTCACCTTTTATTTGTATTTAGCCTTCATACAAACAAATGTGAAATCACTGTCATATAATCTTCTCAGGCTCACCTAATTAATATTAATATCTTTAACATCAAACTATAGGCTAAAATACTCTACCAGTCAAAAGTTTTTGAACAGTAAGATTTTTGATGTTTTTAATTTTTTGATGTTTTTTTCCTCTTCTGCTCACTAAGCCTGCATTTATTTGATCTAAAATACAGCAAAAACAGTAACATTTTTACTTGTTATAATAAAGTGACGTGACATGTGGCCAAGTATGGTGACCCATACTTGGAATTAGTGCTCTGCATTTTAACCCATCCAAAGTGCACACACACAGCAGTGAACACACACACACACCGTGAACACACACCCGGAGCAGTGGGCAGCCATTTATGCTGTGGCACCCAGGGAGCAGTTGGGTCAAGGTGGGAGAGAGCGCTGTACATTCACTCCCCCCACCTACAATCCCTGCTGGTACGAGACTCGAACCCACAACCTTTGGGTTACGAGTCCGACTCTCTAACCATTAGGCCACGACCTCCCGCGTGGTAACTGCTTTCTATTTGAAAAATTTTTGATTTCAAAGCTATATTTTTAGCATCATTACTCCAGTCACACGATCCATCAGAAAGCATTCTAATATTCTGATTTACTGCTCAAAAATCATTTATTATTATGTTGAAAACAGCTGAGTAGAATTTTTCTTTGGTGAATAGAACCTTCAGAAGAACTGCATTTATCTGAAATAGAAATCTTTTGTAACATTATAAATGTGTTTATCATCACTTTTGATCAATTTAAAGCATCCTTGCTAAATAAAAGTATTAATTTCTATAATTTCTTTCCAAAAAAATAAATAAAAAATCACACTGACTCCAAACTTTTGAATGGAATAGTGCATAATGTTACAAAAGCTTTTTATTTCAGATAAATGCTGATCTTTGGATCTTTCTATTCATGAAAGAAACCTGAAAAAAATAATTACTGTTTTAAATATTGATAATCAGCCAATCGGCATATTAGAATGATTTCTGGATCATGTGAAGACTGGAGTAATTATGCTAAAAATGCAGCTTTGATCACAGGAATAAATTACATTTTAAAATATATTCAAATAGAAAGCAGTTATTCAAATAGTAAAAATATTTCTAAATGTTTCTGTTTTTGCTGTACTTTGGATCAAATAAATGCAGGCTTGGTGAGCAGAAGAAAATTCTTAAAAAGAAAAAAAACATTACAAATCTTACTGTTCAAAAACTTTTGACTGGTAGTGTAGGCTGATTATTCTTAAAGATTAAAACAAATTTGCTTTAGCCTGTATAAAGTGTATGAAAAGTGCTCTGAGTTGCTGCAGAAAACAAACAAACAAACAACAAAAACATGTTGCTGGAGAGGGGCTTATTGAAAATGCAAACTGATTGTCTGCCAGCAGGAGGCGCTTTGAGAGCAGCAGAAACAGTGGTTTCCCCGGTAACGGCTGTAATCAAAGCAGCTCCGCTCATGAACGCTTCTTTATCAGATCAAATGAAAATGCCATCGAAACGTTTCTGAAGACAGTCCTTTCCCTTCAAAGATACATTCATATAAAACACCCGCGACGTGTTTTGATTTTGAAACGTGCAGTGCTCATGTTTATTCAACTTAGTCAAATGCCACAAATAAATCAATGTATGGGAAACACTGGTAATGTATATCAAAATATCGGAAATGTGTTTAAAAATCATATCACTGCTATTGAAGAAATCGCGATACATATTGATATTGAATTATTGTCCAGCCCTAGTTTAGAGCAAATACATCAAATGCAGCCTGTCTTTTGGTTGTTATTTTATTTTGTGTTATTCTCATGTCAGAACACATGTTTGTGTTGTTCTGATTGTAGACGTGAAATGAAATGTGAAGTCTTGTGTGTTATACTTACCATGATATGCAGTGACCCAAATGACAGCTGCTCGGGAGCAAAGACTTTAGTATAGTCTGAATATTTGGTTTGTATTTCCCAAAACTAAGAGATTCTTTTTTTCCCCCCCAGACATATATTCTGAGCCTCAATTAGACCATTGCCATAATCCTGTAATTGTCTGTCTAATTGTCTTCCAGTGTTTAAACATTCGCACTTATTGTTGTTTGGGAACAATCATAAACACTCCGGCACTCATTTATCACTGCACACAAATGAGAAAAAGAAAACAACAGCTCCGTCAGATTGTCACTTAAAACTGAACAGTGCTCCACAGCTTAATATCAAATTAGACAAATTGTTTAATTACACCACCACAAATTAATCGCCCTGTATTCAGATAGTGAAGTGCCTCTGAATTTGCCTTTTTGTGAAAAGAACCCGTTTTCCTACTTTGTGTGTGTGTGTGTTTGCTATATTTTGTTTTGTTGCTGAAATGGTTGCTTTGAATTGCAGTAGGAAAGATACCTGCTAATTTAGCTGCCAGTCAAGGAGTATCACTTTGATTTTTATTACACTAAATTGATCCTTATTACTTAATTGCTCAAATTCACACCATGACCTCAAAACATCAAATTCAGCTCTAAAACACTCTTTCTCTTTCCCTCGCTGCCGTTTTTTCTTCTCCACCCAGATTTGAACAGTGCTAAGATTTGTCTGCTTGTAGCTGTGTTATCACGTCTAAAAGGGGTGTAAACGGTTTGTTACTCTGGTCCTCTTTTGGGAGTGCAGACATTGTCTTACGAGAATGAAGTGGGAGGTTGGAGGTAATCCCAGTGCCCTCATCTCTGCCACTGGTTAACTCGCCAAACTGATTAAGAGCCTTGGCAGGCACTATTAAGAGCACTCACAAAGGAATACACATGCTGATTAGTGCTACATTTAGGGGCATAAACATTTTTCTCCTCCGCTGCTTTGTTTGTAATATTTAATGAAAAAAGGAGGTTATAGATTTGAGTAAATTGCAATTTCCTGTGTACTTGTGTCTCGCAACTGCAGTCACTACAGCTTTTTTTTTTTTTAAAGAACTAGGGTTATAAGCAATTATTCTTGTCATTTGCATTGTTGAAAATGATCTATGTTAGTAAGGATTTGACTTGAATTAATTTCAGTTGGAGTACAAGAATCATATTACCAGACTGAAGAAAGACAGGAAGAAAATGGGGAGCAGGGGGGAATCAGAAGCAGACGAGGTAAGAGAAAATTATCATGTCATCTATGGAAATTACAGTTCAGTGGGGAATTTACAAAGCTATCTGTGTGCCTTTGATAAAACTGCAGTGCTGTGATGGGATCCAATGGAAGTGTGTCGTTTTTTCAAAAGAAGAGAGTTGAGAGTTGTAGAGAAAAATACCACAACCATTATTCAGCTCAGCCTCCCTCTTCAGGAGACACTTTTGACAGTTTATATGGGGTATCAGTGTTCAAAGGCCACAATTAATTTATAATCAAAAGCAAATTGGAAAGTGCTTGAAGTAATTACTGTTTTGCTCAAATGACTTCAAATGGCTGCTTTGGTATAACAAAGGAGTATCACAGTCTTAAAACAAAATGATATTCCGCATTTTTAAAAGGCTATATAAAATGAGAAAAAATAATAAAAAGAATGAAAAAGAGTATTGCGGAAGCCTCTGGCAGCTAATGCAATCCAACTGACCGTGTGTCAGTTTTGTCTGCAGTGTTTATTTCACGTCGTGTGTGTGACAGCTAAAACAATATGCGTCCGAACTCTTTCTGTCAGTCCCTCGAATAAAAGTCGCTGTTATGTAGATTGCTCGGCGGCGGTCGTGAGGCTGTTCATTTTTCTCCTCGTATCTGTAGTGCCGCAGGTGTCTAATCCTAGCTGCTTTGCCCGCACTGACGATGTAGTTCAAGCCCGTGGCTGTAGCTTTCCCTCTCTTCAAGCGACTCGAGCTCTCTCGGATGAAATGTGGAAGACAGCTCATAATGACTTGGAGCATTCCGTCTAGAGCAGTCACTTGTGACTGTGCCGCATCCCCCCCCTCCCTCCAGCCTGCCGATATTGTAATGAGCAGAGATGGGAGGAATCACTCCATTATGCATAGGCGCCACCACTGGCTGCGTGCATGTCCCCGAGGCTGCAGCATTCATTAAGGGGAGCTTACCAGCCTGAAAGCTGGGAAGCCATGATAACGGGATATGATTTTCATATTTAATATATTCCTTGGAAGAGCAGGCGCGTGCCGCAGATTGATAGAAGAATCAATTGCTACTTTAGCGAAACACTTTCTACTTTGCCCTGCAGCTAGCGATGGAATCACTCAGCCAAGAAATTAACTTTTCCTCTCACTCCATTTCTTTTTTCCTTTCTTTTTTTTACTTCTACACTGGATCTGCCAGACAGACTGCGTGGTTTACAGTGGATGTTATTAAGCAGCTAACGGGTTGGTATTTAAGACCCTTATCAGAAAAGAAACAGAAGCCATGTTTTTTGTTTTTTTTATTGTGTTGATTTATTTTTTTTCTGTACCCATCCGCCACTCTTCCTCCGTAGTGCGGTATTTCTGTCATGAAACAGAGTTTAGGAGCATAGGATTGTTAATAAGATTAAAAGTTAAGACACTGATCTCAGTGCACTCAGCTGAACAGACAGTTGGAAGCAAATCTAACCTTGACCAAAAGAAATCCTAGTCAGTCTGTAAAAAGCCACAGAAATGATACCTTGAAATGTTTTGGATTAAAGCTTATTTGAAAAGAAGCCACTGTAACCTGAATTGTCAGGGTTGAGTTTTGAGGCCAAGGACTAGTGGAAGTAAAGCAATGAGAGAATGGCATATCAGAAATGTAGCTCCCACTTGCTGGCAATAAGGTATCCTTGACCAGCCAGTTAATTTGAGCACTTTCTAAATCTCTTGACTCGGTGTACTTGACATGCCTTTTTTGTTTTCTGCAGTTTTACTTCCTTTCATTTTCATGAATATAGAAAAGTAGTATATCACATTTTTACAGATATATTTGAAAAATATTTAACTTTTTTACATTTGTCAAAATATTAACAAACTCTTCCCATGGGTATTCAAAAGGACATGCCACAAACAGTCAATTCTCCTCAAAATGTTAGCTTACCCAAAAATGAAAATGTTCTCAACTTTGTGTTTTACCAAACCCGTAAGATTTTCTTTTCACTGTTGTAAACAGAAGGAGATGACATAATTTTCACAATATACAGTGGAATCAAATAGGGAATGACGCTGAGGATTTAAAAAAATGATGAAAAGCAAAAAAAAAAAAGCATGCAGTATTCCAAATCATAACCGGTTGCTATATACCACTTTTAATATGTTGTGTCCCACAGGAAAAAAGAAAATCATACAGGTTTAGAAACAGTTCTATTTTACAGTAATTTATATACTCCTGTCATCCACTACTTACATCTTCCATATATATTGTTTGACTTGCGCAGCTCCCGAGCAGGTTACAGCTTCCGAGCACACAGGGATCATCACAGAGTGCTGTCATCTTCACGGGTCACCAGACCTCCAATGGCTCATCAAGAAATGATGGCGTCACAACCACACGTTCACCATCTCAGACAGAGCTGATACCTAATCATCCTTCACTCTCTCCTCTACAAAGTGGCCTTTGTTTGCACTCCCATGTTTCAAAAGCCAGTGGCACTGCCATTTCATCTGATGACATTCTAAACTCAGGTGATTTCCTTGAGGGCAGACATTTGAGTGACGTGCATGAAAAGCAGATGGAGTCTGATTGGGATATCTCTCAGAGGACAGGAGAGCAGCATAGATGGAAAGAACTTAACTCACCTCACATGACCCTGAAAGAAGCCGAAGTGTCCTTTCGATCTATGACCGCGAAGAAGCCTGCAGACATTGTGTCATTAGAGAGGTGCCCGACCCGCAGTCCTTCCTCAGATACCACTGACCCAAGAGATTCCTCACAATACATGAACTCTGGAGGTGAGGATGAGGATGTGTCTGCAGAGGATGAAGGTGACTCTGCACCAAGACATCAAGATCTTTCAGGTTTGAATTTTTCTGCTCAGTTAACTGCAATTGTACATTGTGATTAAGCAGATTTATTGATATGACTTGACTTTCTTTTTTTTTTTTTGATTAGCCCATTTTAAGAATTATACTTATGATCTTCTACACATTTCAGATCACACTAGCAGCAGACATCACGCTTTGAGAAGAGATGCTGTAATTCAAGAACAGCATGTAATATCCTTTCAAACCAAAGGTGGTGCACACAAGCAGGTCAACACACAGGAATCTGGAAGGCCTGACTCTCTCGAATCCCCCAACAGGTAAAGTTGCTTGGATTGTAGGACTAATTTCTTCCTTCTGAACACAGCCAGAAACTCAGTGAACCTAAAGACTGGTCCTACTGAATGTTTGCTACTCCAAAATAGATTTCTCATTAGCAATGCGATCACAGTATTGTATTCTCTAATCTAAGTTATCGCTTGTCTCTTATCCTGTAGATGTCTCTGATTATTAGAAGAAAGATTGTGATTTTTAAGTCACAATGAAATGGAAATAGCGATGAGTGAAATGCATTATCGAAAAAAAAATGTAGGGCGGGGTCTTGGTACTGTACTCCAGTGTTGAGTGGATTTTGGAACTTGGACGTTGTACTCAAAAAAAAAATAGATGCAAACTTGTGGTCGATTATGGAGGCCCAGAGTTTAAGCAGACTGAATGTTTGAGATGTTCGGCATACTTCAGCAGAGTGAAATGTGCCATTTTCACTGAAAGATTGAGTTTCATGAGGTTTATGAGAACATTATGAGGTCCAAAAGGGAAAAAAAAAAAAAACATACATTGATGAAACATTCACAAAAATATTTTTATATGCATTTACAAAATATAATGGCTGAATTTTCATTTCACGCCGACTTTAAATTGTACATTAACTTTAGATGTAAATGCCAGATTTATAGTTTGCTAAATATTATTATTGCATTAGCATGCCCTGACTCACTACAAATAAGTAAAAAGATTTTTATTATTTTGTATATATTTATATATATATATATATAAAAAAAATAACTTAAATGATTTTAGCAAATGGCTGCAATATAACAAAGAGTGAAAAATTTAAGGGGGTCTGAATACTTTCCGTACCCACTGTATATATATGTAAGCATTACAAACCAAACGATTCGATTCGTTGAACTAATCCTATTGCATTTGGAAAATAAAACAGCTTAAAGTGTGTGAAATATAATGTTTTCAGTGCCACTGCACTCTACAAGGCAGCCCAAATGACGTAACCGGCAATGTGCTGTCTGCCCAGTGGCGTAACGTTAGCGGACGAGCACGCAGGACACGCACTGCGAAAAGCCCCGCGATAACCTCCCCTTGCTGGGTTGCGTCGAAAGACGATGATCTTGTATCGACGATAGCCAGAGATATTGTCAAAAACATCAATTGTTGGCAATATTAAGATATTTGGCATTTCCAATTAATGTAGGCCTGTTACATTCTTATTTTTATTAGGCCTATTATTATTGTTATGAAGTTACCTTTATTATTAAATTAAAATTACAATTAATTTTCCCCGCAATAATTACCAAATAACTGATGTGCTGCGAGGATAACAAAAGATTAGGCTATATATTCCCTCAATTAAAATGTAAAAAAAAAAAAAAAAGTATTTTAAAACAGGTCTATACAATGAATTATAGGCCTATGATTAAAATATTAACACTTCAGTCATCAATAAAAATCAATGAAATAAAAAGCTTTTATTTCAAGCACGACTTTCAAAAACGACCTGTTTAACACGTAATATGCCTCTTCTCATTTTTTTTCACTATGTAATATTAGAAATATTGAGGGAATAAATAAAAACAGTTAGCTATATACCGTTATCAGCATATGTTGAAGTAGATTCGTCTCTGAGAGAATATGCGGCATCAGATGCCGAAAGCTCCGTCATTACTCAGGCACTCTGTTTTTACTTTCACTTTCTGCATAGTGAATTGACTGAGATTAAGACGTTTACAGACATAACTCTTGCTTAAAGTTTGCACGTTGCTTGTGTGTGATATCCATTGGCTCGCCTTCATGGTTTAAAACAGAAATATTTCCAACATTGCGACGTAACTTACCCCTGTACCGAACGTACCGAACACCACTGTGTCGTGTCGAACCGAACCGTGAATTTTGTGAACCGTTACACCCCTAATATATATATATATATATTATTGCACTGTGCTTCATTTGCCAAACAATCTGCAGTCAAATGTTCCAAACAAACATATAATCCTCCAGTGAGATGCCATTAAAAATAAACTACGCAATTGTTTCTGATGCTTCCTTCTGGTTTCAGATGCAAACAGGACGAGTCAAAGCGAACCTTCCTTTACTCTTCTGTTTGTCCTGTTGTCAGCAGTAGCTCAAGCATGTGTCAGAAACTAAACGGTCATCTGTATACTGTATCCAGTGTAGACAGCATCAGCAATTGGAATGGGTTCTATTTGCGTTTTCTATTTATTGGTGTACTCCAGGTGGCAACTGTTAAGTGACTTAGTGCAAGTGGGCGTGAACCGTGTTGTGATGATGTAAAACCTGAATTTGCACTGCGCAGACCAATCTGTGTATGACATTAAAGTATCGCAAAAGCTACAGTATAGGGAGCAGACATCTCCATATGCTTTCCAATCGCTTTTGCGGTATTTGATGTCATGCACGATCAGTCTGCGTAGTGTGCATTCTGTCACCATTTAAACTGCCCTGTCAATCATCTTGTCACAGTTAACGTCATCCATTTCATTTAATTTGATTTCCTACATTATCTGAGAGAAATGAAGAGGCATGTTGATCTGCCAGTTGAATCATGCCGAGAACTCTCCTCCTGTGTTTGCATAATAATGCATTTGAAAGTTAATGACCAAACATATCTTTATAAAAGATCACAGTGTTGTTGCAGATGGAATATAATGCAGATAACATTGAATAAATATTTTTCATCAGGTTAGATATTGATTATCACTCAAACCCCTTTCTACGGTGGCCGAGAAGTGCAAAGCAAATCACAATTCTGAAAACAAAATAACAAATTACAAACGCAAATGCAAGTCTAAAAAACTAAATAACAATTCAGAAAGCACAACAATTCAGAAAACATTATAACAAGTCAGAAAACACAATGACAAATTCGAAAACAAATTAAGTCAGAAAACACAACGACAAATCAGACAAACAAATTAACAAGTCAGAAAACACAAGGACAAATCAGACAAACCGGAAGAGGTAGGTATAGTTTGAGACAGCGCCATTGGTTTGGGATTACTCTCCGCTGTAAAACTGTAAAACATCAGCTCCAGTGGCGCAGATGGATAAGTGCGTGTCGTTGGCTTTTTTACACGATCGACCCGGGTTCGATCCCGCTTTTAAACCTAACTTTTTTTCCCTCCCTTTTCAAATCTCGTATCATATCGTAAACGCATTTATTTTCAATAAAAATTAAGGAAATAATCAAAAAGTTGAAAATAAAGTATGGGGTAGGGTTAGGGTAGGTGTAGGGAGGGCTTTATTGTACCAATAATGTGGCATCCATTTAATAATTAAAATTATAATTTACACTCTATACGTTATTACTGCATACTGTTTTATAATGTACTACATTACTGAAGTGCAGATAATTGCCACTATTTGCAACAAGTAGTATACTTGATAGTAGAAATCCTGCTATTTTAACATAGTGTAAATAGGTATTTGCACTTAGTGTAAATAGCATATTGCTAAAAATACTGCTATTTTCACTTAGTGTAAATAGAATCCATTGCTAATACGAGATTTGAAAAGGGAGAAAAAAAAGGTTCGGCAAAAGGCGGGATCGAACCCGGGTTCGATCGTGTCAAAAAGCCAACGACACACACTTATCCATCTGCGCCACTGGAACTGATATTTTACAGCCACTTTTAACTAAATATAAATAGATACCCTGTATTTTTTATTCTATAGTAAGGGCAATTCATACAATACATTTAAACTGAGCTACTTTAATACCATCTCCGAACTTTCTACCACGACTCTGCTGTTCTTCGGCTGGTTCTTCTCTGTAAACGTTGATTGACAGATGTCTCGTCCAGTCAGCGGTGAGTAATCCCAAACCAATGGCGCTGTCTCAAACTATACCTACCTCTTCCGGTTTGTCTGATTTGTCGTTGTGTTTTCTGACTTGTTATTTTGTTTTCGAATTTGTCATCGTGTTTTCTGACTTGTTATAATGTTTTCTGAATTGTTGTTGTGCTTTCTGAGTTGTTATTTTGTTTTTTAGACTTGCATTTGCATTTGTAATTTGTTATTTTGTTTTCAGAATTGTGATTTGCTTTGCACTTCACGGCCACCGTACCTTTCTCTACCTGTCTGTCGATATCACATATCCACCATGTTTGTAGTTTAACACTTTTTATGTGTATTTGCAGTTCTAATCGAATCCTCGATCAACACACAATGGGTTGTGGGCATTATGTGCACGGATCTGCACGTCTACTGGAAAATACAAATTTCAACATACTATTTGGTACTAATGTCTTGCCCTTGAGTCAGTCACATGCAAATGCCCATGTGACGTCACAGATTCCACAACCTTCAAATGAGCCATGGAGCTTGATTAAAGAAATTTTCTTTTTATACTGGGGAGGGCATTTTTAAGGTGTTTTAAGGGTACAAAAATCTCTGTCAAACAATCAAGGAAAATTTGATTTGTCACTTAAGTACTGTTTAAGTTTTAAGGATGCTTTTTTTTTTTTTTAGAAAACAAGATAAAAGAAAAATTTTAAATGTTGAAATCACTGAATTGTAGAGCTGTTATGAAAAGGGAAGGCTAGTACAGTCAGTAGTAGAGTTTCTCCAAAAAAGATAAACCACAACAATTGGGAGATCATTTATCTGTGTGTGGTTTTGTCGGATGGGGATGCGTGTACATGTGCTGGGGTTTAATGAACTGGGGTTCTGCAGCAAACAACCTCACTCAGTGGGGCTCAGTTGTGGCTTTAGGACACCTTGTAAGGCTCAGACCCCGAATCCAACATTATTGGCCTAATCCCAGATCAAGCTTTAAGGGAGTAATTTTCTCCTCGGGAGATTTGACCCCAAGTCCCAGTAGACTCAACTATTTCTTGACTTCATAGAATTTACTGAAGAATGAAAGTGTGGGCATCACGAAGGCTCTGCTCAGGTGGATAATTAGTAGGTTGGCATGATGTTCACATATACTAGTTATGCTATAAATTCAACATAATTGAAATATATACACATCACCCACAAATGGAATGTTTAAAAACAATAAACTATTAAAAAATATTATGAATCTAAAAATATGTCTTTATATCTATAATTGAATGCACATATAAAAGCCAGTCCATTTACATTTTCACTATAAAACATATTAAATAAATATATGTACATTTGTGAATACTTATGCCTGTTAGTCTATATGTGTGGATAACAAGATTTGTAAGATTTGCCAATGTGTTGTCCCTTCAACCCCTTCGTAACACATGCTCCTGTGGTTATGGACATCACTTTTGAAAAAGAGACAATAGAATGATATGCATCAATTACAACTTTATAACCCTCCACGACAATATAATTTAAGCTTTATACTAAATTCTCCTGCTATATCATCCAGCTTTTTGCCATTTTCTTTCTTTCTTTCTTTCTTTCTTTCTTTCTTTCTTTCTTTCTCTATTCCATTCCATTCTATTTAATTCTGCAGTGAATAAATAGATTAATGGATTGTTATTGATAATAGATAATGGATTCATTATTGTGCAGTGCATACATGGAGTGGATTATCCACTTTAATGAATTGGTTGAATACATACATAGTACAAAGGTATGCATGTAAATTCTGCATGGCAGAAATTTTTGGCAGAATCATTTGTTTGCTTCATGCATAATAATAAAGGCTCTGCGATCAAATGAGATGTGTATCAAAACAAACATCCCCTTCACTTTAGATGCTAATGCGCGTGCAAAGCCTCAGTGGTTCCCTATGGAGGCGATTGTAAAGTGTTTCCTTGTAATTTAAGACCTTTTAATAGATTTAAATGACATTTTATTGACGACACCCACCAATTGGGCTACTACGTTATTCAATTTTTGTTCACGTTGTCTAGATATGAATATGGTTGGTAGTGACCTCTCAGGCGTGTTATTATTCATTGTGAATGTTTGCTGTTGAACATGAATGTGAGAGTTTGTGGCCTTGTAAAGAGGCGAACATAAACACATTTCATTACACCAAATACACAAAATAATGTTATTTTTAGCAGCATCATATGACCCCTTTAATACACATTCCTGGTCTTATTGTGCATGATTCACCAGTGCATAACATTCAGAAAAATAAAAATGTCATCTTGTAAGTAACATGTTCAATACATGTAAAGTCAGTTCATGTAATTAATGTGACATCAATAAAAGCAAATTATGGTAGATTTGTAAAAGAGTTACAATTAGGATATGTCTAGATGCTGTCGAGGGTGACCGTCATCTTCAGCCTCCTCATCCCAGTTCTAAATTCCCTTTAAAAAGTGGTCCCCCTCAAAAGTCCATTGCAAACTCACTTTCAGACAAGAAAGAGCAGGTTACTTCTTGTATGAAACAAAGTGTCAGCTTTCCAATTTTGTCAATTTCTAAGAAATTCAAACGATAAATGCCATTTTGTGGCTCTGTAATGTGTCGTGACAGATTGCTGTAGCACCTCAGTTAAAGTGGCACGTGAAACGATCATCTTTTCATATTTACCATTTAAAGCATGAAATAAACATGAATGAACATTAGAAGGTATTTTATTTCAATCGTGGAAAGACATCAATACACTCCATTTTTCAAGTTTAAGTCTACCAAAGTTAATCCACTCTCCTGTCTGGTTTGTTTGTCAGACAAAATGGGCGGATTCAGCGATATGATTGGTCAGCTCGCCTGCCAGTCAAGCTCCCTGCTAAGGGTCAATTCCCAGTGGATAATATCAAGTCCCATCCTGTATATATTTCCAATTAAACATCCTTTTTGCTCCGAAATATGTTAGATTGTACAACCAAAGTGGCTTGCAAATTTAGTTTCTTGTTGTAGAATTACAAGTTGCAAGAGGAAACAAAAAAGTTAATAAAGCTATATACAATAACAGTAAATATTCAATATACATGAGTCATGACAATTTAACTTCTTGTTTGTTTGTTCTTATTTTCCAGGCTCTCCATGGAAGGATTTTGTCATCTTCTGCACAGCATTGAGCGACGTCTCAATGCTAAAGACATGAACCTCTACAGAAGCACAGTCAATGAGCAGAAACTCGATGATATCATCAGGTCAGAGAAGGAAGATGTTTTGTTCCCTGCTTGAGTCTGCTTCCTCTCATGGTGCTGTAGTGTTCACAGATTCAGTGGAAATTGCATTATCCTGCCTTTAAGGGCTCTCACTATAAATTAAGTGTCATTACTTTGGCACCAACAACACTCTAGCTATAAATCTTGGTTTCTAAGGGGTTTTGAATCACAGTGAATTGTTATAGTAACCATTTTGCAATGGCATGCATACATGCCAGTTTATTGTTTTCTGCGTTTATTTGTGTAGATTGATAGAATTGGAGAATATTTGTACTAATATAAAGGAGGCTCAAATGTGTGTGACTGCACTCCACATATTCTCATTTCTAATGTCATGTTTCTTTATGTATTGCCCAGTATATGTGGTCAGTGTGGGCGTCTGGATGGTGTGGAACTGCATGCGTGTGGTGCTGTGGTTCTGCAGCAGCTGCCCCTGTTGTCCTGCAGTCTGTCTCATGGATGCCTGTTACCCAGTGATCTGATCAACACTCACTGGTCATCAGCTACAAAACCAGAACAGATCAGGTATAGTGCTTCTTTACAGTTCTCTGGACTCATAGCATCTATTCAGGTTGTTTCACTGTTATGTATAGCAAGAGACTGTTTGAGAGCCTATTATTTTCTGTTTCTGTTTCTTGTGTTTTGGAATGATTTAACTAGAGTGTATTTTTAATTTATTAACGATTTAATGATTTATAAGTGTAAGAAGACTTACAGCTTCACAGGTCACCACTGACAAAGTACTAAGCTGTTTTTGTAATACTGCATTTTTGTTTAAATTATATCGATCATATGTATATATGTGACCCTTGACCACAAAACCAGTCATAAGGGTAATTTTTTTTCGAAATTGAGATTTATGCATCATCTGAAAGCTGAATAAATAAGCTTTCCATTGATGTATGGTTTGACATACAGTATGACATATGATATATGACAATATTTGGCCGAGATACAACTATTTGAAAATCTGGAATCTGAGGTTGCAAGAAAACCAAAATACTGAGAAAATTGCCTTTAAAGTTGTCCAAATGAAGTTCTTAGCAATGCATATTACTAATAAAAAATTAAGTTTTTATATATTTACAGTAGGAAATGTACAAAATATCTTCATGGAACATGATCTTTACTTAATATCCTAATGATTTTTGGCATAAAAGAAAAATCTATAATTTTGACCCATACAATGTATTTTTGGCTATTGCTACAAATATACCCCAGCGACTTAAGACTGGTTTTGTGCTCCAGAGGCACATACGATATATATTAATGTTTTTTTCCATTATTTGATTGTGATGTATATGAATGCGGGTGTGTTTGTATTACATTTGTTTGTCCTGGTTTGGGCATGCAGGTCGTGTCTGTCAGCTGAAAGTGTTCTGCTGTGGGACTGCTGCTTCAGACACTTCTTACAGCTTCAGCAACAGAAAATCCTCAGTGTTGAACACATCATCCAGCTCTTCACTCCACTCTTAGTGCCAAGCAATGCCACCTACACTGAGAAGGTACCGCTCTTACCTGATTTCTGCTTCACAATCATTTCTCAGTCTCAGTTTATTTATTATTTTTTTTTAATACTGCAAGTATTATTGGCACAGACCTGTTATATAATATGGTGAATTGTCTACAGCTATTGTCTAAATCATTTTGTGGTGATAAATTGGGTTTATTACTTATTTTAGTCAAATCTATCTATTAGGGGTGTAATGATACACGTATTCGTATTGAACCGTTCGGTACGAGGCTTTTGCTTCAGTACGCATTACAAACCGAACGATTCGTTGGACTAATCCTATTACATTTGGAAAATAAAAGTGTAAAATATAATTTTCTCAGTGCCACTGTGCTCAACAAGACAGCCCAAATGACGTAACAGGCAACAGGATAACAAAAGATTAGGCTATTTACTCCTCGATTAAAATGTTTTTAAAAAAGTATTACAAACAGGTCTATTGTACAATGAATTATAGACCTATAATTAAAATATTAACACTGCAGTCATCAATAAAAAATCAATGAAATACACTTTTGCCCAAATCTCATTTCTGACAAAGCCAGCCAGCCTTCATTCTCCCTTTAAACCTGTCTTAATCAGTCCTGCTGTTCAGATTCAAAAAGCTCCCCACCCCCCTTCCCCAGCTCTCTCTCTTTCTTTTCTTTCTCGTTTCTCCTCTGTCTTGCTCTTCCACTGTCTCTCTGAGCTGCGCTTTCCTTCTCTTTTCTTTGTTTCATTTATCAGACAAATATATGCTATTTCTAAATACATTACAAAATTGTGTATATATGCATATAATGCATTTTTTATATTGTAGTATAAATGTGTAATAATAGCACACCCTTTCCCTTATTTGTGACCCTGGAGCACAAAACCAGTCTTAAGTCACTGGGGTATATTTTTAGCAATAACCAAAAAAACATTGTATGGGTCAAAATTATCGATTTTTCTTTTATGCCAAAAATCATTAGGATATTAAGTAAAGATCATGTTCCATGAAGATATTTTGTAAATTTCCTACTGTAAATATATCAAAACTTAATTTTTGATTAGTAATATGCATTGCTCAGAACTTCATTTGGACAACTTTACAGGCGATTTTCTCAGTATTTAGATTATTTTGCACCATCAGATTCCAGATTTTCAAATAGTTGTATCTCGGTCAAATATTGTCATATCCTACCAAACCGTTCATCAAAGGAAAGCTTATTTATTCAGCTTTCAGATGATGTATAAATCTCAATTTCGAGAAATTGACCCCTATGAATGGTTTTGTGGTCCATGGTCAGATTTTTTATTTAAATTATGTATTTCTTATCCAAAGACATCAACAAATTGGAGAGGTCTGAGGCGCTCCGGGACTCTTTCATGCAAAATAGCCGGTAAGTACCCATAAAATTATATATATATATAAGAATTTTTTTTTTCTCCATTTGTCCTCTTTTAATAAAAAAGCAATGTGTTTGTCCTTGAAACACTCTTATCATCATTAACACAAGTTCACGTGGGAGGCATCAGTCAAGCTGTATTTTCATTCAGAGCTTCCTCTCTCATCATCGGCATTATTTGATTGCTTCAGTAAATCAGGACTTTGAATGATGAAAAAGGATCTTGAGGGTACAATATTTAGGTTTTCACATCAACACAAGTTCACACAATCAGCTAAGACACGCAGCCCTCCCAGCAGCGCCTCTCCTCCGTGAATCCATTAGGGCAGGTAATGGATGGGTAAACCTTGTGAAGAGTAATCGTCTCTGATTTCACATGCTTTTCCGAGCATCACGCTGACACAAGGGACGAAAGTCTCCCTCCCTGTCTCCGCGTCTTTTTTCCCCCCTTTCTTCTTTTCTGTCTCTTCTGCCCAGTCTTTATGCCCACTCTTTGCCCACCTCCCCTCGCTCTCTCTCAGCTAGTTTACACTATTTGCAGAGGAAAGGGTATAATGATCGCACTCTCTGATAGAGCTCTCTGATGGATGCCACAGTCTGCCCAATGAATGGCCTCATTAATAAACATAAGCTGTCTCTAGTGTGAGATGATTTTGGATCATCCCAGAACCTCACAGAGCTCCTGAGAGAACCCTGCCGGAGACTCGCCATCGCTTGTGGAGGGTTAGAGGTTGTTTAAAGCTCACATCAAAGATGAAGGTTAGCATTGGTGCATTTGCTTTGCTTTCAGGTAAAATTTTGTGTGGCACTTTTTTTTTTTGTGCTGTGTTGAAGAAAATTCCTCTTCTGCCAGTCACTTCTTGCGCTTTATTGCCTCTACAAGTACCCTGCACTCGAGCACCAGTAGAACACTACATGTGCTGTTCCCCCGTCCTCTCTGCTTTCTCGCTCTCTCGTCTCCGTCACTTACTGCTGTCATTCTGTCACTGAGCCGATGGGCACATTAAAAGACTTTCTGGTTCAGACCAAAACTCCCGACAAAATAGTAATAAAGCAAAATAAAATAAATCAAGTGCCTCTCTTTCTTAGCCGTAATTATGATTTTGCTCTTAAGCCGAGACCATTGCTGAAGAATCGGAGTTTAAAGCAAGCGCTTTGGTGCAAAAAATGCATTTATGGGCCTTTGTGCACCTCCTCATTATGTGTGAGGCTGATTCATTAAGTAATTGGTTTGCAGTTGTTTACATGAGTATTAAGGCCCCCTATTCAGCAGTCTTTGAGAGATACATTGTGCAAATGTTGCATGTTATGAATGCCCAATGAGAGGCGGGGGGCCAGGCCTATTGGCCAAACACTGCGCTGGGCTGAAAAGACCAGAGAAAAGCATCAGGCGCTGCTTTGCATAGCAATGACTCGCCCATAATAAGCTTTCCAGATTAAATACATGCAGTCCATACAAGATGCAAAGAGATACTCTTAACACATTTATGTGTGTTCATTTCACTATTATAGCACTGAAGAGAATTGGGGTCTTTCATATCCACCCCCGGGTTTTTTTTAATTTTTTTATTCCCTTCCCTGCGCTCTCGTCAGCGTGCCGTTTTTACTGCGAAATACTTTTATTGAACACAGCGTTTTATTGTGTTATAATTCAGAGGCTGTGCTGACGGACCAGGCGGTATTTGTTACGCCTGTGTGCCGCAGTGATTCAGGAAGGAGCGCTGGAATAAGCAGCTGCACTCCATGTAAAGACCTCTTGTTCCTGCGCTTTGTTTAAGGCTGCATGCCACAGCTTCCTCCTCTTCAGCCGCTATTGTGTCCTCTGCTACTGCAGGCATGTAGCGCAGATCTCGCACGCTCGCTGTTTCTTAATGTCCCCACTCTGTTGCTTTATGAAAAATAAAAGGTTAGGATTAGTAGTGGGTTTGTATAACATCTTAACCAATATTTCATCAGCTTCTCACATTGAGGAAAACAAATGCTTGTGTAACTCCAGCAGGATTTATACTACACACTTTTACACACCCTTGTAAGAGTTGTTCTAGTTTGACAAATGTTTTGTGTCATTGAGATACTACTAAGTTTTTACTGTCATATTTTTGTCTAGATGATCCCCATTTATTGATTGAAAGCTCTCCTGTCCTCTTGTTGCGAGAAATCGGGAGTAAGATGTTACTTTAGTTCTAGAATAAATGTGAACATGCATTAATTCATCTCACTCACAAAAAACAATTTCGTTTTCCTTAAAATAAAAACAAACAGTTAAAAGCAACTCAGAATATGACGCAAAGCTGCAATAATTAAATATGTTAAATAATACAAATATCCTTTATGTATTTAATCCCACTTTATTTGCTAATTTGCTGCTGACCTTCAATGATCCTATTCAACCATACTAATAAGCAAAAATTACACCAGATAAACAAAAGTTTCTTCTTTTATTGCTGAAGTTTATGTGTTGAACTTTCTTCTTCTGCGTTCTACTGTACAGCCTTGAATTTACATTTCCTTCAGCCTGAGGCTTTTGGTGCGAAAGGGCTTTTACATTTGCCAAAAATAGAACTTTTTATATTAAAAGCAAACAAGCAAGCCCAGCCCAGATTTAAAAAGTAACGCAAAAGTAACGTAACGCTTTACTTTCAATAAAAAGTAACTAAGTATCATAATTAGTTACTTTTTTAGGAAGTAACGCAATATTGTCATGAATTACTTTTAAAAGTAACTTTCCCCAACACTGCCGACAGCTATATTCAGTGATGCAAAATACTCTATAAATTTTCTCAAATATGGCCATTTTGAGAGAGAGAGAGATGTGTAAATTGTCTGCGTCTGTGTCTCTCTCTACAAACAATGAAGCTGAGTTTAGTTACTTAAAAAAACAGCGAATTGACCCCCCTCGTTGCTGATAAATATAATGTAGCGATGCAGTAGATTAATAAAAGTCGCGTGGCAGCGCTGACAACAAGTTTATGAGCTTCTGAATGTTACTTTTTGCACAGCGCGATCTCAGATCTCTATGCGAGTGGTGTGTGTGTGCGCGCGCATCAATTAAAGCAGCGCATTAATATAGAACGGTGATTAAACTGAACGGTTTTAATGCATTGGCCTTGTCACACACACACGTACAGTGGTGTTCAGTACGGTCACACTGTATATCTGTTATTCAAGAAACTTTTGAAAAGTTTAAAAAACAATTTCTTTCAGAAACTATTAACGTACTAAAACTATAAGTAAGTAATACTACTAAAAGGCCTATTGTTTTTATTGTATCTTTTAAACAATTTTATGTACTGTATAAATACAGAATGTATTTTAAAAAGGAGGGGGGGGGGGTATTGGCACAGTGGTTAACCAGAAAATTAAAAAATGGCACGTCATGCCGAAAAGGTTGCCGACCCCTGTTCTAAAGCCATCAAAGTAACCTTCACGATCGGTCTACTATATATTGTAAACTTTGATGAAAAAGAATTTAGCTGCCAGTATCTGTTTCAGAAAGGTTTTTCACGGGCTTCATGTCAGTCACGTCCTTTGACCCTGGGAGTGAATGCATCTGTGGTACTTTTTGTATCTGTCTACTGTAACTTTGATGCTCTGTGTTTTATGAGTTTGGAGTTGTATTCTTATTGAGCCAAAGGTGATTTATGTAACTTGTTCGTTCTGACCCTGATCAAAGCCATCTGCATTGCATGCATGCATCAATAGAATTTATGAAATGTCGTACTTTGTGCAGAGATGCTCTGGAAACAAAAGAGCTAAGCTGAATTTTATGAGAGCCAGCCTAATTGAGTTCAACTACATCTTTACAGCTCCTTTGGTCAGTGTCAAGGTTGTGTGCACATGACTGAATTTGCCGTCGGGTCGGCGTATACACATACAATCGGCGTTTGGTTTATTCATCCAAATGCATCAAAGGGAAACTAAATATTCTTACTCTTGCTCCCAGAATCCTTTAAAGTACATGGACGTGAAAACGAAATCAAGGATATGGATGTATAAAGACATGGAGGGTGAGGATGAGGGTGAAGATGAAGATGTCATTGTTGATCTGAATAGCCCTGTGCTGATGTAAATGAAGAAGGAAGCCTGTATGAAATGTAGCGTGAGCTTTTGCATATGCATCAATGTAGATCAAAGGCTTGTCAGGGGTCATGCATTTACATAGAGATATCAGTGATGCTATGGGAACCCGGCAACCCGGCGCTCAGTCCACTTATGAATAGAGAGCCCTGACCGGGTCCTTCAGCACCATTAGAAAAGAAGTCAAGGAAGTTTATTCGGCCACTTGCCCCATCTAAGGGGAAATGATGTTCTTCAGGGTTTGGTTGGGTACCTTTGAAAGAAAAGACGACGTTTTGGTAAGAGATGATTGCTTCCTGGAGCATTTTGTGTGTTGCGGCTGAATTGATGTTGAGCGATGACAAATGTGTTTTACCGATTGTTTGATGAGGTTCAAACATTTTTGAGGTTTCTTTTTTTTTTTTTTTATGTTGTGAAACAAAATTTTATTGTTATTACATATGTGTAGTCTTATCTCTTGTTTTTTTTTCATTTCTCACAGGAAGACTGCAGAAAGTAAAGCTTTCTCTGCTGTCCAGTCAAAGGGTAAGACCGCTGTACAAATGACTAAATAATTAAAAACATGGTGTCTGGTGTTAAAGGCAGCTGCCAGCACATTGTCCAGATATCGCTTTATTTTAATGCTTACAATCCACATTAAGATACACTACTACTCGCGAACTGTTTACTGTACTGCCTACATTCTGTGAGTACACTGCCAGTCAAACGTTTGGAATAATTATGCGTACTAAGACTGCCTTTATTTAATCCATAATACAGTAAAAACAGCAATATTGTGAAATATTATCAAAATTTAAGATAGCTCTTTACTATTTTGAATATGTTTTAAAATGTAATGTATTCCTGTGATGGTAAAGCTGAATTTTCAGCAGCCGTTACTCTTTAATGTCACCTTCAGAAAACATTATTAATAATGTTTCTTATTAATATCAATATTGAAAAGAGTTGTTGCTGCTTAATATTTTTTTGTGGAAACTGTGATACTTTTATTTCAGGATTCTTTAATGAATAGGTAAGTAAACATAAATAGCTTATATATATATGTGTGTGTGTGTGTATGTTTATGTGGTTTATGAGGACACAAATTTGTATAATAACATGGGTATGACATAGGTATTACAAAGAGAAGGTGATTTATGAGGACATTTTCAGTGTCCCCGTAATTCAAAAGGCTTATAAATAATTCAGAATGAGTTTTTTTGAAAATCTAAAAATGCAGAAAGTTTCCTGTGAGGGGTAGGTTTAGGGGTAGGGTTGGTGTAGGGCAATAGAAAATACGGTTTGTACAGTAGAAAAACCATTACGCCTATGGAGAGTCCCCATAAACCATAAAAACAAACCTGTGTGTGTGTGTATATTTTATTTATTTTTACTTACACTACCATTCAAAGGTTTGGGGTATCACGGTTTCCAAAATATATGAAGCAGCACAACTTTTATCAACACTGATGATAATAAGAGATGTTTATTGAGCAGCATGCACTGAAGACTGGAATAATGATACTGATTTGATCACAGCTATAAATTTAATTTTAAAGTAGATTACAATAGAAAACAGACATTTTAAATTATAATAATATTTAACAATATTACTGAATTTTTTGATCAAATAAATAGAGCCTTAGTGAGCATAAGAGACTTCTTTCACAAAAAAATCTTAATAGTGTGTGTCTTGTTACTATGTGTGTTACCTATATTTTGGTCTCTATATTTTGTACAACACCCAAAAGTTATTAATTTATTTTTTTCTTTCTGTGGAATTATTTACTTTTATATTTTTTATTTTTATCATTTTATATCATGTTCATGGGCAAATTCATCTCTGCCTCCTTACTGCAACAGATGTTAATGGTGTACATATATATTTTTGCTTGCAGCATTTTGGGGAGAATCAGATGACAGCAATTCTGAGATCGAAATGGCCTTGCGTCCTCAGTCCCGCAACACCAGCAGCCATGACTTTGATGATTTTTATGATTAACATTTCTCTTTTGAGAGCTCACACTCGTTTTTTTTTTTTTTCAATGAGCAGTTAATATGTTTGAAAGAGATGCCTTTATACGATCGCAAAACAAACAAAAATCTTCACTGAGGAATGAGTGCGACATTCCACGAAAACAAAAAAGAGCTATCCTCTTTATTGTGGCCAAAGACTGTGAAGGGTTTTCAAAACATGTCGGTGTTAACCCTGCTTGAATCTCTTTAGCTGAACAACACTTGGACCTGGTTGAAATAGATTAAACTTGGTTTTTAAAGTGATTCCTTTGCACTGTGTTGAATATTACGCATTTTAGATGCTGCAGGTACCTGGCGGTGAGTTGGAGTGGAATGCTCTGAGTCAACTCCTATGAAAAGCCAGTGCGCAATGGCCACTCTGCATGCTGCTGAAACACCTTTGAACTCACTCAAGTACCCCTGGCCCATTTAGGAGGACAAAATACATTGTGCTCATCTCAATATAGAAACAAACGCTCTCTGTATTTGTGGCGGTAGAAAATCGATTTCGTCAGCCGAACGCGATGCCGAGCGTCTCCCTGACCGACGATATGCGCGCTGCAAAGTCCACTTCAGGATTTGTCTGTTTTGCAAATGTACGTACATTTTTATGCTCTCTGGCTGATTCTTGGGGGATGGCAAGTTAGTTTTTATACATTTTGCATCATAGCCACAGACGTCTGTGTTACTGTACAAAGCATGTGACGTGCTGGCTTCGATTCATTGTTATAATATGCCCCTCTAATGGCTATTTTTAGACTCCACATGATAGTTAAAATTACAGATAATTATGATTAGGCATTGAAAAGAGCACTGATCAAACACAGCAATATCATTACAGTAATAACGGTTATTTTTCCAAAACAGCCAATCAGTGATAACGACTTTAACCCTTTTTCTAATGGACCTGAAAATAACATTGCAAACTAAAATTGCTGTGCACGGATTTCCAGAACTGTTTCCCAGCCATCAATAATCTACATCGCCCGTGACAGGGGATTGTCATTTTGTCTGTGACTCCCGAGTTCATTTGGTTTCATCATATTTAACATGCACGGAGGCATGTTATCCTGTAATGATACAAAACCTGCAGCATTCTATCCATCAGTATGATTCCATTAGTTGGCTTTTAAGTAACTTTATGAGGCCGAACCTGCTAGAGTAGGACTCCACACTCATTAGCTGTAATGGCTGCAGCCAGCCTTGACCCGCACGCGTCGAAACGCGCCTGCATAATTTGGAGATTGCTAAAAAGCTCCCCTCACATAATATCTGTGTTAAGGATCATGTCAACAGATACTTGTGTGATGGAGGAAGCTCTGTGAGAGAGTTACGTTGTGCCGGCCCGTAACAACACCATAAACGCTTTTTAAAGGAACCGCCTTCCGAGCACTACGGCCCACGGATGTGCTAATAAAAAAAAAAGTCGAACCCGGAGTGCGACTTGCAAATGATGCCGCATCAAAACACAGAAAATATTTTGCTTTTGATTTTTTTTTGCAAAAATGTGTGTACGACGCCACGTTATAAGCATGCACGACGGTCTCCCAGCAGGGAAGGTCATTAAAGCATTCAGATCCAGAGACATTCTCGGTTTAAATCATCTGTTTAATGGCATATAGTGCCTGATTTCAAGGCTCAGTTAGGATGTCTGTTGCTGAATCTCCTTTCATCTGATGAATAAGATCAGTCCAATCTACATATTAAAGTCTTTTCTTATTTTATTAAGAAAGTCTTTGTTTTTTCAGTGTTGTGCATGGTACGTATGTCACGCGGTACATTTCAAAGCCACTTTTATACTCGTGCCCTACAAAACGTTCTTTCTTAAAATTTATACTATGATTATGTTATTATTATTTATTATTATAGTTAAAATTGCTTATTTCTCTGGATTTAAACATTCTTCGAAACATTTGGGATAATGTAAGTACACAAGTCAGCAAAATATATAACACTGTTCTAGTGGTTTTTGGATATTTTATTAAAAAAAATCGTACATATTGTGCCTTTAAGTGTGGAGTCTCTGATAAACAGTTTTTATAAATGTCTTTTCAGCCACTTTGATTCATTTAATGCATCCTTGTCGAATGAAAGTATCCTTCAAAAAAGGTTACACACACACATATATATATATATATATATTCTTGGGGGATGGCAAGTTAGTTTTTATACATTTTGCATCATAGCCACAGACGTCTGTGTTACTGTACAAAGCATGTGACGTGCTGGCTTCGATTCATTGTTATAATATGCCCCTCTAATGGCTATTTTTAGACTCCACATGATAGTTAAAATTACAGATAATTATGATTAGGCATTGAAAAGAGCACTGATCAAACACAGCAATATCATTACAGTAATAACGGTTATTTTTCCAAAACAGCCAATCAGTGATAACGACTTTAACCCTTTTTCTAATGGACCTGAAAATAACATTGCAAACTAAAATTGCTGTGCACGGATTTCCAGAACTGTTTCCCAGCCATCAATAATCTACATCGCCCGTGACAGGGGATTGTCATTTTGTCTGTGACTCCCGAGTTCATTTGGTTTCATCATATTTAACATGCACGGAGGCATGTTATTCTGTAATGATACCAAACCTGCAGCATTCTATCCATCAGTATGATTCCATTAGTTGGCTTTTAAGTAACTTTATGAGGCCGAACCTGCTAGAGTAGGACTCCACACTCATTAGCTGTAATGGCTGCAGCCAGCCTTGACCCGCACGCGTCGAAACGCGCCTGCATAATTTGGAGATTGCTAAAAAGCTCCCCTCACATAATATCTGTGTTAAGGATCATGTCAACAGATACTTGTGTGATGGAGGAAGCTCTGTGAGAGAGTTACGTTGTGCCGGCCCGTAACAACACCATAAACGCTTTTTAAAGGAACCGCCTTCCGAGCACTACGGCCCACGGATGTGCTAATAAAAAAAAAAGTCGAACCCGGAGTGCGACTTGCAAATGATGCCGCATCAAAACACAGAAAATATTTTGCTTTTGATTTTTTTTTGCAAAAATGTGTGTACGACGCCACGTTATAAGCATGCACGACGGTCTCCCAGCAGGGAAGGTCATTAAAGCATTCAGATCCAGAGACATTCTCGGTTTAAATCATCTGTTTAATGGCATATAGTGCCTGATTTCAAGGCTCAGTTAGGATGTCTGTTGCTGAATCTCCTTTCATCTGATGAATAAGATCAGTCCAATCTACATATTAAAGTCTTTTCTTATTTTATTAAGAAAGTCTTTGTTTTTTCAGTGTTGTGCATGGTACGTATGTCACGCGGTACATTTCAAAGCCACTTTTATACTCGTGCCCTACAAAACGTTCTTTCTTAAAATTTATACTATGATTATGTTATTATTATTTATTATTATAGTTAAAATTGCTTATTTCTCTGGATTTAAACATTCTTCGAAACATTTGGGATAATGTAAGTACACAAGTCAGCAAAATATATAACACTGTTCTAGTGGTTTTTGGATATTTTATTTTAAAAAATCGTACATATTGTGCCTTTAAGTGTGGAGTCTCTGATAAACAGTTTTTATAAATGTCTTTTCAGCCACTTTGATTCATTTAATGCATCCTTGTCGAATGAAAGTATCCTTCAAAAAAGGTTACACACACACATATATATATATATATATATATATATATATATATATTCATAATGTGTTCAAAATTATTTTATCATATATTAATTTAGCTTTAAATGTTAAGATGGTTTTGGTCAAGGTCTCAGTTATCATAATTAAAAAAAAATTTCTTCAGTCCACTGTAAACTGTCAGCGTGTTTAATGGAGAATTTGTTAGAAGGTTGAATCCAAGTTGGATAAGTGGTTAAATTGTTCGCGGGACTGGGCACCAAAGCTAAACTTGTGTTTTGGCGATGAATGATACACGGCGAAGGCCAGACATGTCTGTTTTTGTTACAGGAACAATCTCAGACAATAAAAGAAAGGAAGACCTAGATGAAAGCAAGTAGGGAAGTTAAACACTCTCATTAACAATGATATGCCAGAATTGTGCTATTTGCATATTGCGTGTTTGTGTAATTTATTCACGCTTATTCGACAAGTTGAAGTTTCAAGTGTGTCCCTTCCACTCTCCCCTATCCACTTTTATTTTTATCAGGGAATAATGATTTAAAACAAGGTCATTTGATCTTCTGTTTCAATAGACCTTAATGAAATATTCATTTACTCGCCTGTGGTTTCTCTGACAGCGTTTCTGAGGATGTTCAGTGAAGACACAAAGGCCGTGCTTTTCATCATTCAAGCCCACGGTTCACGTTTTGATTCATACAGATATAGATAATTAAACCTCCATTTACTTGGAAGCATGCAGTTTACCTGGTTTTGTTAGTGTCCATGCAAAAGCCATTTTATAATATGCAAATAGGACTTGTGGGTTGGGGGAATGTGGGCTGTGCACAGTATTGAGTCTTTTTCTTAGGTTTGTAAAGACTAAATGTACTTCAGTGTTTTAGGTGAAAAACACTTCTACATGAACAATCTTTAGTGCGATATGTATGTCATCGCCTCAATTAAATCACGTCGCATCTGACAGTAGTCTTATTTCTTGGACCGTGTTGTATATTGTGGCATGTTTCTACTGTATTTCAGAGCTGGGTAGATTACTTACCAATTGTAATCCGTTACTGATTCCAAATTACATGACAAAAATTGTAGTTAGTAATGTAAGCCATTACATTACACATATTAGGTAATAAAATCAGACTACAACTACATGTCAACTAATTCTCATTCATTTGCAACTACACGTCTACTAACTCTCAGAGTAGACTGTTAGGGTAGGTTTAGGGTTAGTAGAATAAGTTGACAGAGAAAGTGTTAGAATATATTAAGCAGACAGTCTACTAATACTCTACTAACTGCTAGTTGACATGTAGTTGCAAAGTTACTTACTGTTAATAGAATGTCTAAAGTGGACTATCGAAATAAAGTGTTACCAAGTTTTTTTTAATGGCTTAGGATACTATTTTCAGGTTTTTTGAAATCCACAAATCACACTTGTAACATAGCTTGACGTTCATTCAAACCTGTTTTTGTGCTGTTTTAGGGTCATACATGTGTCATTTCACAATGCAAGAGACAATTTAAAATCGTCCTGGTGCTGAATGAAAATGAAAATGTCAGTGCCGTGATTTACATCATATTAGGTAATACACATACATTACCTAAACAAATTGATATAAATTTCACAATTCTTGTAATATCTGTTCACTCTGTAATCAAAAGGCACAATTAATGAAGACAATTCTAACAGTAGAACAGACAATACTATTGATACTGTTACTATTGTGCAATGCAATAGCCTGCAGCCTACAGGTTTTCTTGGCAAAATGTTCTGTCTGTATACTGAATTGATACTGTAGCCGACCTTTTGACCTTTGGGTGAGTTACACTAATTTGGCAACCTTTGTTCATCATGCAGCATACTGTGAAATGACTCGTCTTCCTCTCT